GTATTTATATTTCATATATATATTTTATATATATCATATAGAAGAGGGATATAATAGTCTCCTTTAATGTAAGAGAGACCCCAAGCTTTGGTGATTGGAGTAATAATCTTGTAATGCATGGGGGTGGTAGTTGGAAACATTTGTAAACTTGCTCCCAGACACATTTTAGCTCCACATGTCTCTACAAGACTGTAAGGAAAGCAGGCTGTGGTTTCCAATGTATTTGCAAAATTAATCTTTGTCAACACAACACTAGTGATATTTTAACATAGTAATCAACAGAATAAGGACACTGAGTAAACAGCACAGTACCTGATTGCTGGGTAGCATTTATGGATGTGTGTGTAAAACATTAAACAATAAAGGCAATACTTACGGGAAAAAAGCAAACTTGTTCTGAGCAGTCTCTAATACCAAGCCAGAGAGGAAGTAGAAAACCTTTGTTCAGCTTTGTTACACAGCTGACTTGACAATAAGTAATAAAACAGTTAAATATATTGTACTGTGACCCACACAGCATTTCTTCTTAAAAGTAATAGTTTTCATGTGACTGTTTAGACAACACGTATTGATCCAGCTTGACTTTTTCTCTGGCTAAGAAACTAAATAGGCCAGGAGAGTGAGACAGGGTAGGAACCCCCTATGGCTTTTGTGTTCTGGCTTCCACATGCAGGGAATCATCTTGAAAATCAAAATTGTCTCCTGAGTCTTACTTTTGTTGCACAAAGCCTCCTGACAGTCAATAGCATAGCATTCAGATTATCTGTATCAGGAAGTGAGATCTGAACTAACCTTGCGGTCATTTGAATCTGCAATGCTGTTTATTCTGACTCTCATCACATGGTTTCTGGAAGACACTGAGGAACGCGGCACTGCCAAGGGCAGGTAGAGCAAAGGAAGAAGCTGACAAAGAGACAATGTAATGGAAGTCGATAGATCCAAGGAAGCCCAGACTAGCAGGGCTAACTAAATAGTCTTGCCACAATGCACAGAGGAGAGCAGGAAGACCTGCTGGACACCTGGGTGATTACAACTAATTTACTGTGGCACATATATTTATTTGAAAAGATGCTATGTAACCCCCTGTTGTACCCTATTAACAGTCTCTGACCTGGCACAGCATCACATCATGTAGTTCCTGGTAGCAAATGTCTTAGGTTGGCCCAAATACACCAGGAAGTTGGGAAACCTGTTGTGCTGGAGAGGTGCTAGCAAAGGCAATCCACAGGCAATCTGTTCCTGTAGGGGCATGACTGGATTTCTCACTTGTGCCTGCTGGGATTTTGTAGTAGGGAAAAAAATATCCCCTTTGGGCAGCTACTCTGATGACAGTAAACAGCTCCTAATTCTCCGAAAACCAGAAGTGATAATGTAACCTGACTTGTTTTTCTGAGACCTTTACAGGTGTACATCTGTAGACTTGGGCAAGTAAGAGTAGCACACAGGGAGCCTTATCTTGGGTCATGTTACTGGTGGTACCAAGTGCCTCTTGTCTATCTCAAAAAAACCCCCAAACCAACCCCAAAAAATCCCAAACAAACAAACAAAAAAAAACCCCAACCCCCAAACCTTCTCTTTAAAACTTCAATAATTCCCCAAAATTGTTTGGCAAGATGTTCTGTGACTCAAAGCAGCAGCCATTCTCCTTGCTTATCTCTGGCAAATCTCAACAGCCAGGCTAAGTGCTCTCTGAACCGAGCTAACAACCTCAGGGACAGTCCCTTAAATGCCAGTGCACGCATGGTTGGCAAGCAACACTGTCACTGCCGCTGTTCTTTCGAACAGCCTTCACTCACCGGGACCACCACTCCAGCACTTTGCAGACATGCTGAATTTTGCCTGTCTGACTAGATCTAGCGATAATGTCTGCTCCTATGTACACTATGTAATGTTTCATAATGCATTATCAAGAGGCCTAAGATACAGCTGAGAATTTATTACTATCGTTTTATAAACTATAGAAAACAACTGGAAATTCACAATTAAGTCTTGAAGATATTATGAGCCTTCATCCTTTGTAATTTTTACTAAACAAGCTATAAAATTGTTTGGGAAGTCTAAGAATGTTAATTAACAGAACAGTAATATACTCATTTCAGAGGAGCCAGGCATTTGCGACAGAAGGAAGGACCTTTTTCTCCATATTTGTTTTCTGCTGCAAGTTCTTGGCATAGCATAAATTAAAACAGAAATTAACTATTTTTCTCTCCCAACGTGGCATGAGAACCTGGTATGTTCCCACAAATATCAAATAGGAAACAGTCACACAGAAAATTATCATAATAATGATGATAATAATAAACAAAACCAGCAACAACAATAATAAAGACAGCCTCAGAGACAGTTCCTGAAGTTTGACTCTTCACCCGTGGAGCTGACATCATTCTCTGGCTCTCAAGTCCAGAAAATCAGCCTGGGCAGGCAAAAGCTTCTCTGTACCATCATGGCATGTAGCACAAAAATCGCCTTTCCTGGGCTGTTCTAACATGTCCACTTCCACTGCTGTTTGCAATTTGAAACCACTGATGCTCAGAGTGGAGGACTTTAAGCAATCATCAGCTCTTTTTCCTTGTATCTCAAAAATGTGCTTAATGCTGTGCTGGGGTGCAAATACAGAAAACAGGGCAGAAAGGGCTTGTCAGTTCATTTAGACCATCCCCATCCAGAACATGAATAAGCTGGTTTACGCAATTTGTTAAACCCATCTATGTCTTTCTGTTAAAGATGTACTAGGTTGTAAGTCAAGAAAGTTATGTTCTCTTACTGCATTAGCCATTGCCCTACAGATAAAAGCAAAACCCTTAGTCAAGCTATTTAAATGGGTTTAAGACCATGATGTACAATGTGGGAAATCCTTTCACCTTTTCCTGTACCACACTCCAAAGGAATTATCTCAAACACAGAAAAGCACTATCCCTTCTGAAAGTTCCCAGTGTAAGTGCTATCCATCTAAGCACAAAGTATGAATAGAAGCGATACTACCAGGTTAAAATTTCAGTGTACCCAGACAGTGCTGGAACTTGACTTAAATGTCACACCACCCTGAAGAAAAAATGTCATGTACCCTGCAACAGTTCAAGTAAAGACTGGTACCATTCAGGTGCCGGACCTAGGCACTCCTGGATCTTTCTTAGTGGAACAGCTCTCAGACAGGCAGGAATAATTTAGGAAGGACTGTTCCTGGCACAAAGGGAATCTCGGGCAAGGGAGGCAGCTCTGGGGATTTGTGAAGATGAAGGCATAAGATGTCTACATTTGAGCATAGGGTTTGTTTTTCCTTTTCTTTCTTCCCCTGCTGCCAGTAGCGTGTCCAGACTCTGCAGCCACAGATACAGCATTATCTGGAGTGCGTCATCCAAACAGCAGCTATAGCTATGCTGTTGTGATTAAAAGGAAAAAGGTCAGTAACTCTAACCCAGCTAGCTTAGATACTGCTTGCAACAAAGCCACTCACCACATGGAGCTCAGCAACAAGAGGCATCCCAGGTTTGTACATCTCTCTAGGTTCTGCTACTCATGCTGAGCAATAGCTACACTCCCCCCCTGACCCAGCAGCCACAAGACCAGGCAGTTTAAATTAGTTGGAATATATCGGTCCAAGATTCTCTGACTTGAGACACACCAGTCAGAGAGAGCACTGTAGCAGGTAGCAATAGGATACCTAACAATGACTGAGGATGAGAAGCTATTTCCAGCAAGACAGAGCAAGCAAACTTCTGTCCCAGCACGCAGGGCCTCTAGTCCCATTCACCTGCAAGTGAGGGGCTGATTTGCCCCAGCTACTCACCCGGCACTGGTACAACTCCTGCAGCTGGGCATCGATCCATTCCTCCAGGTCTAGCCAGCGCTGTAGGTCTTTGCGGTTGTACTTGATGGTTAACTTGCCCAGTTTCCTGTGCGATGATCCCTCCCCAGGTTTCTGTGGTGTCTGGAAAGTCACCCGGGGCAGTGCGCTGGAGTTGCTGGCCATCCTCACCGCTTCCTCCTCCTCTGACAGCAGTGGGCTCCGTCACTCCTTTCCTCCGTCTCCTTTACCCAAGGCCTCTCTGCAACTTGTGGCTCACCGCACAAGCTACTCGCAGGCGCCAAAGGCGGGCAGCATTGGTGATCCCACAAAGGTGGGGGAAACCACCCGGCCAGGGCAGCAGCCAGGCTCTGCAGGCAGAGTTACAGCAGCAGATCCTTGGGTTTCACCATCGGCTGTGCTGACAGGAACAGGGAGGCAGGCAGAAGAGTTGTTGTAATAACATCTGTTGTTAAAAGAAGCGAAGAGAACGAGGGAATTGATGAACCAAGTTTGTTAATATTTAACGCAAGTCAGCTCTGAGAGGTGGGGCAGAAGGAGGTTTTAAATGACTGTTTTCCTACAGGCATAACTTACGTGCGTGCATGTGCAATTCCAGAGGGCTGATCCATACAGAATGTGTTGAATCCTGCTGTGTTCAAGCTCCACAAGCCTCTGTAAACTACTTTGCCTGTAGCTACAGGGTTTAGCTCCCATTGAAATGGTGTATTTGACATTTTCTGGCTAAAGCACTGGACCCAGCACAGATGAGAAGTGGTCTGGAGTCAGGTGGCTACATCCACTATTTTACAAGAGTGGGAATACTAGGTCAGTGATACTGCAAGCCAAACTTGGTCTCAGCAGTCCTGTTTTACTTTGTTCTATAATCTGTAAATTTATTCCAGCTTTCTCAAAAATTTCTGTAGAAATCCCTGTGGCCTGAATTTGAGATCATTTGAGCAAGGTGCTTCTGAGATAAAACAAAATATCTGTGCACTTATTTAAAAAAAAAAAGTACAGTATTTGACATAATGACACTGAAGGGGGAGGCCTGTCTAGGGATGTAGCACTATCTCCTTTCCAGAGAAAAGTATTCATCGTAAACAGGTTCAACTGTTGAAGCATCATAAACTGCTATCGTACTACATATTATCATTGCGTGGTTTACAATCTCTTTCTTACTGGAAGACAGGTTAAAGGTCTGTAGCATTATTGCCCTATGCCATTTTATAAGGACACACGTGAGCAGTGCTGTTCAGACGAACAGAAATCAGGCTGGCTGTGTTTACGTGGTGCCAGGGCTCTGGGACACCCGCGTTCCCGTGAGATGCTGGATCACACCTCTTTATTCATCTGTTCCCAGAGCCCCCCGGCGACCTGCCCAGGGAGCTGCCCTATCGAGCGGACAAACCAGCTGAGACCCTTCCTCACGAAGCAGATCCAACAACCCCAGTTTCATGATTTATGTGGAAAAAGCAAGTAAGTCTCTGCTGCTCCTGGCAGCCAAGGTACTTCCAGTTGGGAGACCAAGAGCTAGAAAAACCAAAGGAAAAGCAACCAACCCTTCTCCCACTGATAGCTGCTGCTGGGCAGCATGGGGCAGTCTGCAGGGGGACTGGTCTCCTCTAGAAGGCGTACCCAGTCCCCCTGCCAAAACCACACGCCTGTGCCCAGAGGGCACAGCCAGCCAGCAACTTCTTGTACACAGGGTGTTAGAAAAATGGGCAGCACCATTCCAGCCCTTCTTTTCATCCTGAATTTGAGCAAAAAATAAAAGCCTTTTCTGACAGAATTCCACAAAATGCTGATCCTGAAATTTGCTTCCACATCAGTGAGGGATAAAGTATTAAAGTATACCTGAAACTGGTATCATCTCTACTTTTCAGACAGCCTAAAATTTCTATTCAGAATACAGCTGTCAGCTATTTAATTTAAGCAGCTTTACCCATTTTTCCTCACTGCCTGGCTGTATCCTCCCTCTAATCTCACTCCTAAAACTGTCTTATTTAGCCCAAAATTTCGCAGAAAAATATGTGTTGTGAGAGGTTCAGAGCATACTTAGTGAGTGCAGATTCTTCAGAGACTCTTAACTCACAGAAACCTTGCAAAACCCATTGAACCAACCTATAATGTGTTTACAACTATTGACTTTTCAAAGGTTAATATGCTGGCCCAACACGGGCAGATTTTCACAAGGTCACTGTGGACCAAAGGAGACACACTGACAGGTGTCAAGTTCCTGTCTCCAAATAGAAGTGCTCTATTGTGGTGTTCAAGGACTGACACGTTTTAACAGGGGAAAACAACCGATAACTTCTTCGGTCCCGACAAACTCCAGAAAGGCTGGCATTAAGACCAGAGAAAGAGGACCAGACTTACAAGAGAAGTTACCTGGCATCCCTGAGTCAGTCCAAAAATTTGCAGTGGCTGAAGGGCTGGCAGGGAAGTTGCCCCCTTCCTCCATCCCCTGTGCTGACTCTGGTACCCTTCATTGAGCAGTCCAGTTCAACTCTACATGAAAGATGGGGTTTGCCCTGTTAATCTTCTGCCAGCATAGTTGAACTTATGAAGCACAGGATGTAGAGGTGTGAGGAAGAGGGAAAGGGGAATATAACCTGCCTTAATGGCTCTTCAAACAGCTTGAGCTGCTGTTGACTTGTAACCTCACTTGAGCATGAGCAATGTGCTGAGATACCGCATCTGAAGAGGTCCACAGGCAGACTCACCCCACCCTCTGTACTCTATCAACAAAGTAATAAGCAGACCTTGGTGTCCTCATGCTGCTCGATCAGTGTCACCCTACAATGGAATAAGACATTCAGAGGGGGATGTCAGAGGCCCTCTCAGGGAAGCTGTAAGCCAAAATGAGTCAGATTACAGATTGTTCATCATACTGCTTTGACTTGTATGAGGTTAGTCATGAATTCTTTGTAATGAGAAGGTGGCAATATAGAAATAAATGTTTACAGATAAAGTAGTCCTCCTCCAGTAATAAATTATTTTAATCTATCATTAAAGCAGGAGGAAGAAGCAAAAATACCGTGTGCAAGATCACTCCATGAGGGTGTGGTAGAAGTTCCTGCAGGCACAGGATTGGGCGCCTTGTACAGGGTGAGTGATATTGTCCCCTTTGAATGAGGCAGCATCTCCTACGGGTGCACCAGCCACCTGCCAGTGCTGGTAAGTGCCAGCTGCCACCAAACAAGAGGCAGCTGCATGACTCTTTTCACAGTGCTGCACCCCATCCTGTCCTTTCCTCGCATCACAGCAGATTCAGGTGTCCAAAGGGACAGAAGGACATTCACCATTTTGTTTGGACATTGCACAATGGGGGAATCTCAGAGATCTCAGGCATGGCTGGGAGATGAGATCTTATTTTCAACCTAGTTATCTCTCCTTATAGCCTTGGGCATACAACCTGGACCAAAATTTTAGGAGTGAACACAACATACTTGGGCAACTAGGTCATGTAATTAGACAACCTGTTTTTTCACAAGAGCTGCATACACGTAAGCTCCGACAGACCTCCTGCTGCAGTTGCTGGTGATCATGTCCTCTGTAAATCTGCTTGTCATTTATGTAGGTGGATAAAGGGGGTTTAAATGTGGCCAATACATTTGAGTGTTAGACAAACACTGTGCCTCAGTTTCCATGTGTGTGACCTGGGGTTCCTGCTCCTCCAGGCCTGCCCTAAGAGAGAGGTTTTGCCTCTCAAAGGAGGGGGCATTTGATACTGTGGAGTTGGGCTTTTGTGAGTGTCTATGGCCCCAGAGAGGGCCACCAAACCAAGCTGAGCATCTGCGTCGTAGTGCCAAGCAGCTGCGACACTGATCCAGGCAGCAGAGCAATCAAGTGCATGAGGCAGATCTGGTTACGCTCCTCTGTTCTTGAAGCTAATAACTTCCATCCCACACCTGTGACCTAAGCTGGTGCTTCTCTTTCTCTCCGGGCTGATGACTCTGGTGTGTGCTCAATAATTCAGCAGGGCCCCAGCTCATCTTTCCAGAGAACCAGGTCGGCCCCTTTCCCTTGAGTCCCAGCCGAGAGAGGAATGTTTCCCTTCAAGACAGCCAGAAGCCACTCTCCACCTATTTTAGAAAATAATCACTTTCCCTGTGGTTGCAAACATGATAGTTAACACAAATTAAACCAGGGAAGACAGCAGAGGTGACTGCATCAACACTACGTCGACACCACAAGGTAAAGAGATTCTGCACCTTCCTGTGAGCAGGAACAGGCACAGAAAAAAAGTTGTGCGGACCAGAAAGTGTAGCCAGGGCTGGAGATTTAAAAAATCCAGAGCCCTGAGTGAGCAACCCCAGTACACCCAGCATCTTGACATACATCATCCACTTCCCTCATTCTCCAGCGTCTCCACAGGAGCGTGGAAACCAAAAAGGCTGCTCCGTTGCCCCAGAGCTCTAGCAAGAAGAGGCAAAGCACATCATCTCTCGCCTTCAACTCCCAGAGACTTAAGGAAGCAGCCAGGGGTTTCCAGCTCACACAGTCCCCACCTTTCTCCTGAGTAGTACTGCTACCATCCCACCAGCACACGGAGAGGAGCCTATACGAATCACCTGACTGAAGAATATAATCAGTCTTACTCCTGTCCCCCAACAGTGAGAAGGAAGAATGCCGAGAGCCAGTGGAAAATATTTCCCAATTTAGTATTTGACTGATCAACCTAAAATTGCACTATTTGGCACCGCCTCAGAAAATAGACAGGGCTCAGCAATAAAGGTAAGAAGTCAGACAAGCTAGCCTGCCTGCCCGCCCTCCCCCCTGCCTCTGTTACTGGCAGTCAAGTGAAGCATAAAGGCTAATGGCTCGTCAGCAGCTGAGAAGGGTAAATGACAAATAGTTGTACTTACTGCTTTGGCACACCAGATGAGTAGCAAACCCTGGACTCCCTCCTTATTTAGCCATTTAATTCTGCTTACCTGTTTCCATCCTCAGACATCCCGTAGGCAGTGGGATGAGTAAGCATCTCCACTGAGGAGGAAGGCCCCCTCCCCTTGAATACTTAGGTGAAGCTGACAACATGAATTAGATGCCAAATGGATTATTTGGGGATATTTGAAAACCTGACCATGCCGTTTTGTTGCCCTCCCTCTTGTATTGCTTTGCTGTTTCCCTGCAGAAAGAGGCCTGTGGCACTGAAAGCATTATCAGTGTTTTCATGTGGC